CAATCCCTAGGTACCTTACCCTCTTCCATACATTTATTAAATAATTGCACCAACCACTCCAAAACTATATCCCCACCTGCTTTTAACATTTCTATCTTTATCCCATCAATCCGGCTGCCTTACCCCCTTTCATTTTACCTACTGCCTCACGAACTTCCCCCACACTCAGAACTGGCTCTTCCTCACTCCTACAAGATGTTATTCCTCCTTGCCCTATACACGAAATCACAGCTTCCCTATCTTCATCAACATTTAACAATTCCTCAAAATATTCCCTCCATCTTCCCAATACCTCTATCTCTCCATTTAATAACTCTCCTCTCCTATTTTTAACTGACAAATCCATTTGTTCTCTAGGCTTTCTTAACTTGTTAATCTCACTCCAAAACTTTTTCTTATTTTCAACAAAATTTGTTGATAACATCTCACCCACTCTCTCATTTGCTCTCTTTTTACATTGCTTCACCACTCTCTTAACCTCTCTCATTTTTCCATATACTCTTCCTCCTTGCATCACTTCTACTTTGTAAAACTTCTCATATGCTAACTTTTTCTCCCTTACTACTCTCTTTACATCATCATTCCACCAATCGCTCCTCTTCCCTCCTGCACCCACTTTCCTGTAACCACAAACTTCTGCTGAACACTCTAAACACTACATTTTTAAACCTACCCCATACCTCTTCGACCCCATTGCCTATGCTCTCATTAGCCCATCTATCCTCCAATAGCTGTTTATATCTTACCCTAACTGCCTCCTCTTTTAGTTTATAAACCTTCACCTCTCTCTTCCCTGATGCTTCTATTCTCCTTGTATCCCATCTACCTTTTACTCTCAGTGTAGCTACAACTAGAAAGTGATCTGATATATCTGTGGCCCCTCTATAAACATGTACATCCTGAAGTCTACTCAACAGTCTTTTATCTACCAATACATAATCCAACAAACTACTGTCATTTCGCCCTACATCATATCGTGTATACTTATTTATCCTCTTTTTCTTATATATATATATATATATATATATATATATATATATATATATATATATATATATATATATATATATATATATAAATATATATATATATATAAGATTTCTAAGTTACGTTTGACCAAAAAATAATCAATGTTTTTACATCGTTGTCGGTTTACCAGTGAACAGGAAACACTATTGCTAATGCTTGATTCAGCTCATCTGAAGACCCGATGTAACGTTAGCTAACTGGCGTGTTCCGTACTACTAAGATACCTTACACGTGCTTAACATGTCCCTGTTCATGGGCCACCAATAGGATTATCGCTTTACTGATCACGTGGTTATTCGTATCAATAGATTTTTTAAATGAAATCAAAATACCTGAGCCTGTCATTCTTATTATACCCCTCCTAAACTGTCCCATTTGTCCATGAGTATTTGTGGGCCACCAAAACAAAACCGACCCATCGCAATAAGTAACCAGTGATCATGTAATTCTTCCATCCTGGTTTACCTAATATTTTCCCAAAAAGCATAAATTATTTACATTATCTTGTGTTATCTCGCCCAACACTATATATAGTCTTTTTAAGGACAGAGTTTGTAATAATAATTTAACATATACTCTTTCCATATTTCTTTTATTTAGACAAATTAGTTGTGCCATGTTATATTTCTGGCAAATCTATATTCATTTTATTTTTATTGGGACGCATTTTAAATTGAATGGAGGTACTAAGTGAAACGAGTGCTGTCCGCGTTGACAAATTAACTGAAAAAAATGTATTGGCATGTGTTATTTTCACATTACACAGGTCATTAGCCCCCACTAATGACTCGTTCAAACTCATCCTGTAAGTTACTTTTTTACCCAAAATATGTGAAGTGTTAGAAATACTTAGAAATAACACATTTGTCATCTCCCACCGAGACAGGGTGGCCCGAAAAAGAAAAGCTTTCACCATCATTCACTCCATCACTGTCTTACCAGAGGAGTGCTTACACTACAGTTATAAAACTGCAACATTAACTGTTGACAATTTAGATGATATATTTAAGGTTAAATCAAGATGATCATTGTTGGCTAGGAAGCATAGTGGAAGATTTCACTGTTATTTACGACAAGTCGTTCCTGTTATCTCAGATCACTTACAGAGCTATAGAAGGAAGTTCTTATTGGTTTTCATTGTACATGAGAGATGCATATAACTATAGAACAACTGGTACATCATGTTCTTCAATGCCACTGATCACTTTCACAAGCTGGGCTGTACGACTCTGACCGACAAAAAAAAAAATGGATTCTAGCTTTAAGAAATCTTCTGGGAATTGAAAGATTTTGAAGAATCAAGCCAAGCAAACTGTAGAGAACCGTTTGATAATAGTGCATCTTAACGTGAGGAACCTGTTATGTACAAGGTTACTAATGTATAGAAGCGCTGGAAACCAGTTAGTGGTGAAAAATAAAGATTTTAATTCTTTGTACAGGTTGCAATGTGTAATTGCAATTATCTTCTAAGTACAAAGAAATGTATGTTACAAGGTGAGCAGTGTATGGCTTCTTACATTATATTGTGAGCTTTGCATATTTCCATTTTTTTGTATTAAAATTGAGGCTAAAAATATGTATAGCAGAGGTTGGGTGTGTGAGATGTGTTATGGCTGAAACTACGTTTATAAATGGTCTTATAGCTGCTTAACTGGACTTAACTATTATCTTATTTTTTACGATTGGACTTATATTATAGATGTAAGTTTATCTATCGAGTATATTAATTAACTGGTTGGTGTTTAGGAGGAGGAGGCATCAAGCTTGGCCCAGCTGGAAGGCTAACCCAGCTGACCACTACACCTGAATTTCACCTGTTTTTTAAGAAGCTAGTGCTTCGTCTTGGCTAACTCTTTGAAGCTATCCCACACTCTCTCTCTGAGATACTCTTCAGTAGGCTTCGGTCGCCAGAGTACTCACAAGTATTACCATACTCTTCTCTCCATTATATGAAGTCCTTATACCACACATATATAATTACAGTAATTTTTTTTTATGGATATAGGCTCGGAGAACATTTCTCTGCACTGAGTTCAATGTCAGCTTAGTTCACTCCTTCGTGAACTTCATTTCTGAGATAATAAATTGCCTGCATTTTGTCCTGAGTGGACAAAATTTTCAGCATTTTGTGTCAGTTGCTGGACTTATTTTCTGGAGGGTACATCCATTATGAGCATCGTCTCTGAAAAGCGGAACACACATGTCCAGTGCGGACAAAAGTCCACAATGGACATAGGTATTGTTCTTGAACCTTGATATAATTAGTCCAGTAGAAGACTTAAACAAATGCTTTCGTGTAGGTTGATGAACCTACATATTTAAGACGAAGTACACGCGAAAATCCTGACTGGTATTTTATGTATTCTAGGTTTTAATTCCAGTGATCTCATAGCCTGCACACTGGTGACTGAATTGACAGTGCTCTCTGCCAGATACTGCAACACAACGGTATCTTCGTAAGGATAACATTTTTCCATAACATTTTTGTCCGACCACTAGTTTCAAGTGAGAAGAGTTGAATTTGAGAGGGACCTGCCCTCTCAATAATCACAGTCATACTGTAATCGTCAAGATTATCTGCACCTCACCTTTGACAGCATATGAGTCACTATACTGTTGCTTCAGTATATGTAGGCGAAACGATGCAGAATAAAGATACCTAACTGTTTCACATGTGTTTCATTTACCAACAGTGCTCTCACCTTGATACTGACCTTTCAAAGGCTTTGTCACTCCCATACAGCTTTGCCGAAAACAGGGTTTATATAGTCCCTATGTTCGGTAAACTATAGAACTAACAAAACTTTCATTATCTAACATTTTCCACTAATTTTTTAAAAGATGCGAGGCTTTGTGGGTTTTAAGTAGCGTAACCCAAAGGTTTCCCTAGAATAGCAGTTAGACGATCATTTCGCACTTGTGTGATTTAGTGGACATCGCAGAGTATGTTAGCCATTGTGGCAAAGTTGACAGGTTAGTAAATGTCACAAGGTAAGTAGGTTATTGAGTGTCACCAGGTAGGCAGTTTAGTATATCACAAGGTAGTTTGTGATGTCACAAGGTAGGCAGATTACCGAATGTCACAAATTTGGTCGATTCGAGTGTCAGATCGTAGGTAGGTTACCGAGTGTCAAAAGTTGTCAGATTAGGTGTCACAAGGTAGTCATACAACTTGTATATTTACTACCAATTCAGAGTCACGTACTTATATATCTGTTATATCTATGTGACTCTGATGGGTTAGTACTATACCCCTTCAAGAATATTTTATTATTCCACATACACTTTTTTAAATTGCACCAAAGTGGTTGTGCCACTTACCTTTTATATCCTACCTCTCTCCCCCCTCCCACCCTTTTCCAATATTTCTAACCTTACCCATCCTTCTTCCTTACCCATCTTACCAAAGCTCTGGTCATAAGAAGAAGAAGGTAGTCAGGTTAGCGAATGTCAAGGTTCACAGGTTAGTGTCACAAGATCGACTGGTAGTATAGTGTCACTATATGGACAGGTTCATTAGTGTTACAAAGTAGTTAGATTACTAAGTGTTAGAAAGTTTTCAAGTTAGTGAGTGTAGCAACGTTGAGGTTTCACAAGGTGAGCAGATTAGTCAGTGTCACCAGGTAGGTAGCTTAGTGTCACACGGTAAGCGGATTAATTAATATCATAAGGTCGACAGGTTAGTGAGCGTCACAAGGCTGACAATCTAGTAATTGTCACTGGTTTGACAGGTTGAATGTCAAAACGTTGGCAAATTAGTGTTACAAGGCTGGCAAATTAGGAAGGTGTCACGAAGTATGCAGATTAGTGAGCGTCACTTGGTAGGCAAGTTAGTGACTGTCGCTAGGTGAACAGAATAGTTAAATTACAAGGTGGTAGGTTATGGGCATCTGACAAGATGGGCAGGGTAATGGTATGTTATTTGGTGGGCAGGTGAAGAGTACGTCAGAATGCCGGCGTGGTACACTAACCTTTGTGTCATCGTGGAGAAGAGGTCCACGCACGTCCTGGTCGTAGAGTGTCTCTTGGATCCCCTTAGAAGGTAAGTCCAGCTGGAGCTGAGGGCAGACAGTGAAACTGTGAGAAAAATATGCTGGGAGATGAAACGTCTAATATTCACTGTGGAGAGTAGAGAGGAGGGAATTAATAAGGATTGTGAAGACTGATGGAATATTATGGAGTGGTGAGTCAACTAAGCTGGGAAAATACAGCGGTAGTAATAAATGATGGAGTGAGATTCAGTGATGAGCTTTCCAGGGAAAAGATGTGGTGAGGGGAGGTTAGGTAAGGTTGGTCTGGAAACAGAACATGTGTTTCCTGATGCGGGTCTTAGTCATATGATGTCTCGCAAATGGAGTTTTGGTCATCTGACCGAAGCCTTTCTCTGGCTTACCGGTCCATCCCTTTAATAAGTATGGTTATTATAATTATTACGTGTTAATCAGAATTGGAAGAAAGTCAGTGGTGATCAAAAGAAAGCGGTAAGAGAGGATTCAGATAGACTGCGGAGAAGAGGAGAGACAACAAAATTGGATAGAGGCGATAAAAAGGATTTAGAGGTGAATGGCAGATAACCATTCTGTAGAGAAGAGAGTTAAAACATTTCACATTAATCACATTTCTAAAACTTATAAAATATGTTCATTGATTATACGGTAAAAATTACCTTTATTTTAGTATAGCGCCGAACTCGGAAATGCATAACAAAACAGTACTGACGCACAGAACATGTACCTGTACCTCCCATAATGTATTTGATTTCAAAAATAATATTATTTGCTGACTATGTCAACAAAAAACACAAACTCTCCATTGATTTCATAGGCAAAGTAATGCTGTCTATCTCAACTTATTTAGAAGCCTAGCTCTCTCTAGGATGACACTTCTAGGTAAACAAAGACAAGATGAAATCTTACTATGTCTCGACTCTCTTGAAACTGACCTGACTTGTGACTATACCTGGAGTTTACCTGGAGAGAGTTCCGGGGGTCAACGCCCCCGCGGCCCGGTCTGTGACCAGGCCTCCTTAGGTCAGTGTCCCAGGATGCGACCCACACCAGTCGACTAACACCCAGGTACCCATTTTACTGATGAGGAACATAGACAACAGGTGGAAAGAAACACGTCCAATGTTTCTACCCTGGCTGGGAATCGAACCCAGGCCCTCGCCGTGTGAAGCCAGAGCGTTAACCACCAGGCTATTTCGGATATTTTTATAAAATGGGAATCTTGTAATAAGAGAGGTTTAAATTATATTAGAAAAATCATTTATAATACTCTGAAGTTTGTTGCATAAGAGGTTTTTAAAAAAAAAAATGTAGGAAATACTGAATTGCCAAAATAGGCTTTGAGTCGACTGAACATGTAGCAGGCTTAAGAAAGCCGAATTTGAATTGAAAAAGTCAGAACAATGACTAAAAAATAAAACAATAATAATAAGAATACAATAATATCTTTATTTTTACAAGTACATGCACAAGGTATACAAACCTAGCAGAATCAGTGACATACTACTATATAGAAAGCCGCTTGATATACAGAGTATTTCGGGCAAATTAGGTCAGTTTTGTCCCAGGATGAGACCCACACCAGTCGACTAACACCCAGGTACCCATTTTACTGATGGGTGAACATAGACAACCGGTGTAAGGAAACAAGCCCAATGTTTCTACCCTCGCCGGGAATCGAACCTGGGCAACCGCCGTGTGAAGCAAAATCTTTAGCCACCAGGCCACGGGGCATAGCAAAAATATTATCATCAACTTGAAATGCGAAATCAGATTAAAGAATTAAATACTTCAAACACAACAAAATATGCATTTTGAATCAATGTATTCGTCCGTAACTTGAAAAACTAGTGTTGGTACATCGACCTCCGAGACATGACTGCTGTTAATCAGTTCCAGGCAGTTGGCTGGGATTCCATGCAAATGTGATTCATAGCCTCTACATGAACGAACGGGTTATTAATTTTGGTAAATGACTCGGGTGCACACACGTACTCACGAGAGAGTAATCATACACTTCAAACACACACACACACACATACGCATACACATACATACGCATACACACACATACACACACACACACACAGAGCTACCAATGAAGAGGCGGGTTCAGGAGCTGTGAATCGACCCTTGCAGCCACAAATAGATGAATATAAATAGGTGACTTCACACATCCACACACAAACACATGCACATTAACACAAAAACACACGCACACACAAATAAACACTGTCATACATACTCTTTGTTCATGGGGTCAGAAACAAGGAACACAGTAATGAGAAAAAATCGAATCTGGGAAGTCTATGTTAAGGAAGCAAGGTTCTAAGGAATAAGAAAGGGAGAGAGATACTGGAAATAATAAGGAAGAATCATAGGAATGGAACAAGGATCTGGCCAACTATCTCAGGAGGAAATCAGCGGAAGGAAAGAGGTAGGAAATGCCCCTACACCCCACAAATGAAGTAAGAAAATAGCTTTCCCAGAGGACAGGACAGTAAGAAACAGAAGAATCAGCTTGTGGTACTCAAATTTAGATGAAGTCGCCAACAAATGATAAAGTGTAGCAGAGTAAAACTCTGATATCATAGCAGTATTCCCAGAGGGCAGCCAAATAGCAAGAAGAGGAAAACGACTGAGGAGCAGCAGAACTGTCAGAAACCACTGGTGATTTGTGGAACTTGAAATCTGGAAACCAGAGATTACAGTGATTACGTAGCTGGTACTATTAGTCAGAAGATTCAAAAGTAATAGTAGCAGTGATATATAAACCACAACAAATAAATGCAGGTGAAAGGAATTATCTGGTTCATTTACTGGAGACAGAAGCAGAGTGAGCAAGAAGAAATAAATCTAAATTCCTAATATTAAGTGATTTTTGTTAGGAGATTGACTGGGAAAACTGAAGCCTTCGTGGCAGTGGCGTCGCTAGGGTTGGTGTCACCCGGGGCAGAGCCCCCTTACGACGCCACTGCTCCGTGGAAGACCAGGGTTGGTGTCACCCAGGGCAGAGCCCCCTTACGACGCCACTGCTCCGTGGAAGACCATAAACATGGACAGCAAAACTTCTATAAGCAGTAATGAATAATTTTCGGAAACAAAATGTGAAGAAAGCAATAAGACTGGTTAACACAAAATAATTAAATCAGCTGAAAACTCTTTTGGAGAACTGCGATGTGCTAGCGGTTATATGGTATTAGGTTTGAGAAATTAGAAGAAATTGAATAAGAGAAGAAAATGGATTAAGTGAAAAAACAGAAAAATAAAAAAATTTTTTGAAGATGATATGAAAACTGAGACACATGGTTACATGCAAATATTTGTGAATGCCTCATTCTACTGGATTTTAACCTTCAATGCTGATCTTTCTTGCACAGAGGAAGCTTTAGAATGCTATTGCAACGTGTAGGTGGCAGTTTGTGAATGTTCCTTCATCTCAGCTATCATTCTCTCGTAGCTCTAGACGGTATGCAAATTTAACTTTGTTAAAAAAAAAATCGCCTGAAATATACAGAAATGAGTTTAGGGACTCTAATATCTTATTTACATATGTTCTTTTTAAAGACGCTTATATTCAGGAATAGTGCTCTTGTCTACCTCGAAGGCTTTTGTTTATAACTTGAGAATATCTTATCAGATCGGCTTCAAATTTTTAACGCTGGTGAGCTGTAATTAAAGGTTCAGGCAAGTATTGGCAGGTGTTGGTGCCTTCTAGTCAATTTTTACTACCGTGCAATAATCTGAGAAAGGTGTTCCTGATTACCTGGGGCGTTGACCCCCGGAGCACCCTCCGGAATACACACCTGGATGGAGTTTTGGGGGTCAACACCCCCGCTGCCCGGTCTATGACCAGGCTTCGCGGTAGATCAGGCTCTAATCATCCAGTTTGTTAATGTCAGCCGCACGCAATCCAGCATACGAACCACAGCCCGACCGGCATGTGGAGAAATTTTCTCCAGGAGGGGGGTATCAGCCCCCTTCAGCCCCTTTCAGCCCTTTCAACCCTGAGGGGCCCAGCCCTCTCAGAAGGGGCAAGCGTCTAGTTTACTGCTACAGTGAGTAATTGATCCCAGATGCAGTACCAGTATACGACCTGTGGTCAAGCGACCGCCGCTCCTTGCAGTCCAGTGTTGCAGAGTGTATTTTAATAAGAGACAGTACATCTCTTACCTTAGCAGGACAATTAAGGAAAATCCTGCTCCCACTTTATTACCATAGTAAAGATAGTGGACATTGTTGTCTATGCTTAAGACAGCAAGATTTAAACATTCTGCTTTGCCTCATGGAGGAAGCAAAAGTACTAGGTCAGCTTTTCCTTTGTGCTGGGGGCAGTGACGGCGTGGGGTGCTGTGGCGTCTTCAGATTGCTTTTGACTCTACTGAGAGTGACACTGACGCCAGGATAACCAACAAAGAACGATCTGTGCGTTAGTGTGAACAAAGTGTCTCATAAAACACAATAAACACTTAAGAGAAGTGTGATCAGCTTCTTTAGTGATAAGATTGTGAACAATAAAGACAAATCTTGTGGAACATAGTGTACCAGTGTGCGTATTCCTAGACTATGGAAGACGTGGACATCCAAGGATACTTCAGCTTCTATCAAGTCACCGATATCTGTCGAAGGTGTGAAGAACACCATACCTCACGCTACAAGAGCAAGGTAGGTTACGAATTTCTTGTAGTACGGGGGACTGCGCAGTTCTTGAGTCGCAAGGAGTTTGTAATCAACCTATAGTCTGCAGTTAGGTGTGGACTTTTGAGTCCACACAAGTAAGTTTGTCAGCCATCAGTGAATGAAATATGCTGACATAACACCCCCTTGGGGTAATTTATAATCTTACAAATTATAACTCATTACAGCCCGTTGAGAGATGATCATGACAACAATTCAAGACCTCGTCTGCAGGGGAGGGTTTGTAGACGATTTGCTGTCTTTTATCAGCTAAGTGTTCCCTATATTTAAATTTAAAATTAAGCTTAACTGGTAATTCCATTTCTCAACACGGCCTCTTGAAGACAGCCAAGGGTCTACTGGTAATCCCCCTT